GGAGCGGGCCCCTTCCGGTCAAGAGCTAGGCGGGGCGCGCGAAGCCCTAATTGGGGAGACAGGGCGCGGGCGGGCGGGGCCGCAGGCGGCCGGAGGGTGCAGAGTACAGGCGGCGCCGGAGATCTTGCACAGGACAAGGTACGCCAAGGACAGGAGCCGGGGGCGAAGTCCCGGAGGGAGAGTGAATTGGTGTTGCCGTCATCGGCGCGCCAAGAACACCATCCTCGAGTGCTGCGTGGGGAGGGCCGTGATCATATCAACGTCCGTGAGGTAGAGAAAGACCTGGTAGGCGAAGTGCACCAGGTGCCACCGGCTGGTAAGGAGAGGTCCAGGAGATGAGGATGACCACGAAGTCGATGTGCAACGTTGTGCCACCGGGTGGTCAGTAGCGGCCTGGGGTGGTAGCCCAATCCACGTCCAGGTAGCAGCCGCGAGGTTCGGCATGAAGGCCGACAACGCGCACAGGTAAGACCCGAGGCCCCAGCAGGAGGGAGAACACACACAGACACAATTCATCGTCCACTCCCAGGAAAATATTGGAAAAGATGGGAAGGGGGGGGTGGAAGACAACAAAAAAAACAGAAAATATAGGAAAAGATGGGGAATCCTTTTATTTGTGTGTATTTTTTTGTTTGTCCTGGGGCCCCTTCAAGTGGGCCGTGTTGGAGCGATCTTGGAAGCTTCCAGGGCCGCCCTGGAGCGCCAGTAAGGCCCCCAGGGCGAGGACGGCAAAACAACTTCTACAATTCAAATATAAATAAAAATTTTTTTTTTTTTTAAAAAAAAAAAAAAAAAAAAAAAAAAAAAAAAAAAAAAAAAAAAAAAAAAAAAAAAAAAAAAAAAAAAAAAAAAAAAAAAAGCCGAGTTCTGCCTCGGTGGGCCCTCGTGGAAGGTCTCTTGGGGCCTCCTGGGGGCCTCTCGGGGCCTCTCTCGGGGGCCTCTTGGGGGCTTCTTGGGGGCCTCGTGGAGCCTCCAGGTTACCTCTCTGCGCCTAGGTCCTCACCACCCACCAAACCACCCCAACCCAACCCGAAGGCTCAGATTTACCCTCGATTTCCAGTGGGGGGGGGGTCGGGAAACATTGAAAAAACACGTGTGGAACCCTTGCCCCCCCCAACCCGAAATTCGAGTCTTCGGGTTGGGTTGGGGTGGTCTGGTAGGTAGTCAGGTCCCTCGTCTGGGCCCGCTCTTGGAGCCGTCTTGGGGGCCTCTTCGGTCAGCTTGGAAGCCTCTGGGGCTGTCTAGGAGCCCTCTGGGGCCGTCGTGGGCCCTCTTGGAAGCCTCTTGAGCAGTGTTGGGGCGTTCCTGGAAGCCTCTTTGGCCATCTTGGAGGTAAGCTCCCACGGCGAGAACGCCAAGAACCTTCAAAAACTAAGGGAGAATCACAAATTCTGGCTTTGTGGACCCTCTGGGGAGGTCCCTTGGGGCCTCTTGGGGGTCTCTTGGGGCCTCTCGGGGGCCTCTTGGGTCTTGGGGGCTTATTACGGGCCTCTTCGGGCTTCCAGGGAACCTTTCGGCGTCTAGAGCTCAACATGTCCGTTCGGGTCCCTCATCTGAGCCCGCTCTTGGGCCGTCTTGGGAGCTTCGTCGGCCATCTTGGAAGCCTCTGGGGCTGTCTAGGGGGCCTCTGGGGCCGTTGTGGGAGCTCTTGGAGGGCTATTAGAGCCCTCTTGGGCCATGCCGGGGCGATCCTGGAAGCCTCTGGGCCGTCTTGGAGCGCCGGGAAGCTCCCAGGGCGAGAATACCAAGAATCTTCGAAAATTGGTTGGGAAATCACTAATTTCTGCCTCTGTGGGTTGTCTTGGGAGGTCTCTTGGAGGCGCTTTGGGCTGCCTGGAGGCCTATTTGGCGTCTTGGATCGTTCGTGGGCCGTCTCGGGCCATGTTGAGCTCTCTTGGAGGCCACTTGAAGCGCTACTGGAAGGCTCTTGGGAGCCTGCTGGGACCTGGCTGGAACCTGCCCGGGGCCTGCCCGGGATGCTGCCAGGACCTTACCCGGACCTGCCAGGATATTTTTCGTCTGGGCACCCCCAAGGGTTGCCCCCGGCGCGCGCGAACTAGGATATTGTTAGCCAGTCGCCAGAGATCTTAGCACGCCCTTGGCCCGTCGAGTCGGCGAGTTCGTAGTTCATCGCTTCGCTCGTTCCGGGCCCTCCTTTGGAGCCTCTCGGGGGCCTCGTGGGGCCTCCAGGGGGCCTCCTGGGCTCTCTTGGGGGCATCTTGGCGCATCGTGGGGGCTTCTTGGGGCGGAGGGCTCGAATTGCCTTGGCATCGCTCGGACGTGTGCATTTTTCCTTCGGCGAGGACCATCGAGGAGCATCCTTGATCATTTGGCGAAAAAGCCACGCACGAAATCGAAAAAAGCACAGGGAATGGACGTCCGAGCGATGGACAGTTGCTGGTTCGTGTTCCCCCTTCGGCCGCGGGCCCCCAGGGGTCGCCCCGCGCGGGCGAATTAGACATACTGTTTACCAGCTACCAAGGGCTCCCGCAAGGGCGCGAAGTGATTCGCGCTTCGCGGTCCTCGTTCCTTCGCCCCCTCCTCCCCGTCCTCCTTTTCTCCCTTTGGGGGGGCGGCGCGAGAGCGCGAAGTTATTCGCGCTTCGCGGAGCGCGAAGCGCGAAGTTGGGAGCCCTAGGCTAACTGGCTACTGGAGATGTTAGCACGCCTCTGGCCCGCTGGGCCGACGAATTTACTCCCGACCGTGTCTGGGTTTACCTAGGTTAAGCGGCGACGCCAGCGTGGTCATGGACGGCATGATCGATTTTGCCAGAGGTTACCTCTCCTCCCCCTCCTCCCCCTCCTCCCCCTCCTCCTCCTCCTCCTCCTCCTCTCTCCTCCTTCCCCTCCTCCTCCTCCCCCTCCTCCTCCTCATCCTCCTCCTCCCACCCCTCTCCTCCTCCTCCTCCTCCTCCTCCTCCTCCTCCTCCTCCTCCTCCTCCTCCTCCTCCTCCTCCTCCTCCTCCTCCTCCCCCTCCTCCGTGAAACTCTTCCCGCTGGCGCAGGCCTGGCAAAGACTGCAGCGCCCCAGAAGCAACCGAGGGCGGTGGTTCGGCTCGCCCTGGGTGCGCTGTGTGCGATCCTGCAGTGCGCACGCTAGCGAGGCCCGGCTTTCGCGTGGCAGGCCCAAGGGAGAGGGCAGAGTGAGCGAGCCATCGGGGGTGCCGAAGACCGGCAGAGGCGTCCCGCGTCACCGCGCGCGTGCGGGCTGATTGCCGCAGCAGTCAGCACTCCTGGTCGTCGTCCCCACGGCAGTCTCGCAGCGTTCCCTGCTCTCCCCCTCATCTGACCTTCTCCTTCTCGTTCTTCTCCTTCTCGTTCTTCCGCACGAAGGGCTGCGCCCACTTGGAGCGCCAAAGTGCCAAGCAGCAGTACGTTGCTTGGACAGGCCCAGCGGTAGCAGTCCATGGAGTCGGCGGCTCCTCCGCGCGGCACCTCTTCACTTGCTCTCGGCATGGGCGCTCCTGGAGTGACATTGCTCGCCACCCGCAGCCCCGTGCTTGTGATCACTTGCTCCTGGCGCGAGTGCTCACCGAGTGGCAATCCCTGGCCACCAACAAAGGCAGAGAGGAGAAACCATGAATATTCGAGATATGTTCGTAAAACATGTTGAGAAAAAGACACCCCAGAGATCGCCCCAAGACGGTCCAAGAGGTTCCCGAGAGAGCCGAAGACCGCCCAAGAGAGCCCCAAGACAGTCCAAGTGGCGCCCATGACGGCCTAAGATGGGCAACAGGGGGAATCTCCACCTCACAGTCCAAGTCTTCCGCCCCAAGTGGACCCCCCAGACCGCCAGCAGGCCCCCAAGAGGCCCCCAAGAGGCTTCACAAGTGGTTCAAAGAGGCGCCCGACAAGCGTGCCAAGAGACCCCTAACAGGTATCCCAGAAGCTTCCGACCCACAGCCCGGGCACGGTGGCGGTATGAGCCGAAGGCCCGAAGATCCGCCGCCCCCGGTCGATTCATCGCAGGGGTGCCTGCCGTGCTAGACCCTTTCGGTTTTGGTTTTGGTTTTTTCCAAAAGAACTCCCCCTGGGGCTTCGGCCCGTCACGCCGGCCACCCAGAAAGATCTTCCAGACCCGGTTGCAAAGGGTCTGTCTTGCTCCAGACGGCTCCAAGACGGCTCAAGAAGGCCTCCAAGATGCATCCAAGACGGCCAAGATGGCCTCTAAGACGGCTCAGATGGCCCCAAGATGCCTCCAAGGCGAGCCAAGATGCACTCAAGACAGCCGCCTCAGATGGCATCAAGATGGCCCAAGACGGCCCCAGGGGCCTCCAAGAGGCCTCCAAGACGGCCCACGAGGCCTCCAAGAGGTCCTCCACGAGGGCCCGCAGAGGCCAAAATCAGTGGTTTCCCTAAGGTTTTTGAAGGATTGCGGCATTTGTTCTTTTTCGGCTTTCCGACGACCCAAGACGGCCCAAGAGGCCCCCAAAATCGCCCCCAGAGCGCCCAAGAGGCCTCCAAGTTGGCCTCAGGACTGCCCAAGAGGCCCCCAAGACGGCCCCAAGAGGGCACAAAGACGACCCAAGAGGCCCCCAAGACGGCCCCAAGAGGGCACAAAGACGACCCAAGAGGCCTCCAAGACGCCCAAGATGGCCTCCAAGACGGCCCTAGAGCATTCCAAGAGGGCCCCAAGTCGGCCCAAAACGGCTTCCGACGGCGTCAGACGGGCCAGGAGCCCATCAAGATGGCCGAAATTGGCTCGAAGCTGGCCCAAGGCGGCCCAAGAGGCCTCCAAGAGGGCCCCCAGGAAGGCCAGAAGAGGCCGAAATCCGTGATTTGCCTTAGATTTTTGAAGGATTTTGACATGTGCTTCTTTTCGGCCTTTCGATGGCCCGAGACGGCCCAAGCGCCCCCAAAGATCGCCCCCAGATCGCCCAAGAGGCCTCCAAGGTGGTTTCAGAACGGCCCAAGAGGCCCCCAAGACGGCCCCAAGAGGGCACAAAGACGACCCAAGAGGCCTCCAAGACGCCCAAGATGGCCTCCAAGACGGCCCTAGAG